AGATAATTGATTGAAAATGTATATGAGATGTTCAGTTTATGATGGATTAACACAGTTTGTGGCTTGAGTATGAGAGTTCTGGGTGAGGATGAGAGTTCTTGGTGAAGTTTGCACCAAATATTTTAGCAATGTGTATTAAGGACAGAAAAATCCTAAGACCAGATCTCATGAATGGAACTGTAGTTACCTGGGCTGGCAGAAGGCTTAGGAAAAGTAGAAATACAAACTAATTTCCAAAATTGTAATTGCTGCGCTTTTATTTTGTAGCTTGGGGATTGCCGTTTTTAAGTATCTGTAGAACTTGATCATGGTGATAGTAAAATTATTCCTTTTGTTGTTGCCTGAGTTGGAATGCTGTGACTTAAAAATGAGCCTGCTGCTGAGACCAGAGCCTGAGTCTGCGGGAGAGCTCAGGGCAACAAAGATGATGGAGGGATTGGAGCATCTCCCTGATGAGGAAAGGCTGAGAGAGCTTGGGACTCTTCAGCCTGGAGAAGAGAAGGCTGAGGGGAGACCTTATTAATGCTTCTATGTGTCTGAAGGGTGGGTTGAAGGAGGATGGAGCCAGACTCTTTGGTGATTGCCAGTGACAGGACGAGGGGCAACTGGCACAAGCTGGAACATGGGAAGTTCCACTCAAATATGATGGAGAACTTTTTTGGTGTGAGGGTGGCAGAGCCCTGGAACAGGCTGCCCAGGGAGGGTGTGGAGTCCCCTTCTCTGGAGATCTTCAAGACCCAGCTGGTGCTGTCCTGAGCGATGTGCTCTGGGTAACCCTGCTTTGGCAGGGGGGTTGGACTGGATGATCTCTAGAGGTCCCTTCCAACTCCAACAATTCCATGAATTCCCACCGTGCCAGCCGGAGCGTGTGGGGCTGGCTCCCTGCTTGCTGCCTGCTTGAAGGACTGACCTCAGTTCTTGCAGCGGGTAACAGGCTGGTGGCGGTGGGTTTGATTGTTTAATGCCTCTGGAATTTAATCATGTTGTTATTGGTATTCTACAGTATCTAGAATTGTCATCATTTTTGCAAATACTTTGTATTTGAATTACTGAAGTTACATTGATGTTATTTAAGGCCTAGGTGCTACCACCGTGTGTATAAGTTCAGGGGCTGATGGTGTGGGCTGAGCAGGGCAAAGCATAGATATAAACCACCCCGAATCGGAGCCTCCATGAACATCTCTGGTATGTTCAGAAGTAGCTCACACCTATGGAGGGACTCACAGCAGTGTGACTTGCTTAGTGCTCTTTATATACTCTCCTTCTTACAGAATGCCAAGCTCAAAAGTAGTAGTGAGTGTGAACTAGTGTTCCACCTAAGAGCAGAGGAGCATGTTGTCTTGGTAAGTGGGTTAGAAGCAAATTTCTCTGTGTTTGTTATAGCTGCTGCCTTGCCTGTTTTGCTTTGCGCTCGTAGTCATGGCTCTGCAGCTGAATAACTTAAAAATTTTTCCTTGGGAGATTTTTGGTATGGCAGAAAGTGGCAATGCAATTTTAAACAGCTGAAGAAGAATATATTTTTTAAAAAAAATAGATAATAGAAGTGTGTTGATTCGGGTGGCTCTGTGTGTGTGTGTGTGTGTGTGTGTGTGAAATCTGTCATGGGAGAAAGGGAAGGAGTCTGTATTCCATTGTGATGGTCGTCCCTTTGTGATTTGAGACTGTTTTACACAAAAGTTCCCATATGATTCCCTGCTTGGACTCCTGAAGGAGCTGGAAAAACTATTTCCGTCCAGAAGTAATAATAGCACGGGCTTTTGGTTTTGATCATGAACTGACATTTAAAAGTCATCTGAGGAAAGATATTTCTTGATTAAAGTCAGGTTTTGCCTAATGCAGTTGCAGCTGATCTTTCCCATCTGGTATCATGCTACTCGATGTGCTGCCTTGCAGTTCCCCGGGTCCAGTTTACGAGATCCCACGGGAGTTGCCCCCTTTCCCAGGGGACCTTTCAGTGGATGGGGTCGTTCTCTTACCCTGCCTATTGCTGGGCTGTGCTTCTCCCTGGGGAAGAGCTGTGCAGCTGTGAGCCCATAATCTGGTACCCACAGAGTGCATTTGGAATTGCAGTTGCATCAGGACTGTCGCAGGCTGTGCATCCCATGTGCCTGGTTTTTCATTTCCATGCCAGGTCCCCAGGTTTTTCCTATGGGATACAGACATTACATTTTAGATGGGGAACAGAACTGTGTCCAGTTCTGGGCTCCCCAGTTCAAGGACAGGCGACTGCTGGAGAGGGTACAGCAGAGGCTACAAAGATGATGAGGGGCCTTACAAAGAAAGACTGAGGGAGAAGACTGAGGGGGGATCTGATCAATGCTTCTAAATACTTAAAGGGAGGGTGTCAGGAGGATGGGGCCGGTCTCTTTTCAGTGATGCCCAGTGACAGGACAAGCGGTAACGGGCACAAACTTGGACATAAGAAGTTCCATCTAAACATGAGGAGGAACTTCTTCACTTTGAGGGTGGCAGAGCCCTGGAACAGGCTGCCCAGGGAGGTGGTGGAGTCTCCATCTCTGGAGACATTCAAAACCCACCTGGACACGTTCCTGTGCAACCTGCTCTGGGTGGACCTGCTTTGGCAGGGGGTTGGACTAGATGGTCTGCAGAGGTCCCTTCCAACCCCATGGGATTCTGTGATTCTGTGAATATGAAAGGTACATTGTGTGATGGTGTTTCCTGGGGTTTATTCCCTAAATTGTCAGTGTTTGAGATTGCTCATGTAGTTTTGTGTCCTGTTTAGCCACATGGTCATTCCAGGGAGGTGGAGGGGCAGCCACCCATCCTGCCTGTGTCTGGGCAAGGTGCTGCTTTGTCCTGATGTTAGGACTTCGGTTTCTGCGTGTATTCAGTGCCTGGAGAGAGAAGTAGGTATTTGTGTTTTGGCTTTTTGGGCGCTTCGTGGGTTGCTAAGATATGATCTTTCCTGCGAAGATGCTGGATTTTATCCCAAATCCTGTGAATTTCACACAAGATCAGATTCTTGTGTGCATTCTTGTGCTTTTGGATCGATTGCCAAATTGATTGCCAAAGCCCTAGCATTTATTGAAGGCGCAGAATAACCGTTTGCTGTGCGCAGAACTCACCAGCGCGCTCCCTCCCAGGTACAAGGAAGCTTCTAAACAAGAGAAGATCATGCACTTGGAGATTTTCTTGAGATACCCCTGGTTTCTGTACAACCACCACCCACGAGCTGGGGGTAAATGTGTTGATTTGTGGCAGCTACGCAGGAGCTCCCAAACCAGGTCAGGGGTGCATTGTACAGTGGTTTGAAAATTGGAACTTTTACCGACTTCCTCTGATCTGTTTTCTCTGGTGATTCCCAAAGGTCTCAGTGGGTGAGAGATAAAATGTGACTCAGTGCTTCGCTGTGGGATACTTGGGGTCTGTCGTGAACGAGGAACTTGAGAGTTGAGTTCAGCAGATACAACTAATCCTAAAATTCTAATATTTGCAACCTGGGGCTGAAGAGATCGCGAGGTTCTCCCAGACAAATGAAGGCACGTAGTGAATATCAAAGACCTGGGTTATTGAGAAAGAAAGCCTGAAAAGCTTGTTTTGTTTTGTCAGCGGAGGAGTGTCATTCCTGGAGGAGTGACCTTAGATCAGCCACGCTTTCACGCTGTAACTGCCCTGCGCTTTGTTGCCCCTGATGTGTCTTTGTTCCCAGGACAGACCGTGGCCTTTATCCCCATGGTAAATACGGTGCTCGATACTTGGTAGAAATTAAAGCTGGCAAATTCCATGTGTTGTATGTCACTTGGCGTTCTGCACAGCCCCCTTCGGTCTGTCATAAATTCCTAAACCGGAGCGAGGTCACATCTGGTAGCAATTTCACTCTGCCAGATGAGGCGTAATCCTGTAAAACCCAGCTCATTTTCTCCAGTGCTTTTCCAAGCCGGGCTCTCCGGCTCCTTTTCCGTAAGACACCACTTGCCCCACGAGCGCTGGGGAATGATTCAGGCCGACAGACTTTTCACACTCTATAAACTGCAGGTTTTGGATCACGGCTCTCTGTATCCAGCACATGAGACGGGACAAGCAGTAACAGGGGTGGTGTCTTCAGGGTGACAGGCTGGGCCCAGGCTCTGCTCTGGTTTGCAACTGCCTCTCCCCAAAGGGTGTGCTCAGCCGGCTCTTTCTCTGTGTGTTGATGTATTTCCATCATCTTATACACTGAGTAACCTGCCACCTCACACACTGCCTAAAGAATCCATACATAGCCGCTATTCTGCTTTGCTTTCACGTGGTTTCAAAATAGTTATAGCAAAAGTTATGAGTCTGGGGTAATTCAAGACTGTAAAGATGCACTAACAAATTAATGGAACTATGATCCCTCTTACATTGAAGACTGTAAAGATGTACTAACAAATTAATGGAACTATGATCCCTCTCTGCACATCATAGTAACTCAAACCAGCTCTAATTCCCAGTAACATGGAAGTTGAATAGTGCTCAGTACGTCTTTTATCATGTTTCTGTTGTCCCGTGATATTTTGACAATAGTGGTTATTTTGGTATCTCACTGCCTTTATTTCAAAGCACTGTAAGGAACCTGATGGTCCAGTTTCTCCAAAAGAATGTCAAAACAGAGTGTAGTAGTGAGGTTATTTAAATTACAGGTGGGGTGTGTGAAATGGTGATGTATTAGAGCGTGTTATTAAATTAAATTAACAGAACTCTGTTAAAAAACATTCTTCCAAGGTTTCCTAGGTCTTGCACAAGAACCTCTAAGGTGTCTTTGTACAAGTGCATGCTAATTTTTTTTTCCTCTGAGATGATCAATTTAAGTATCTCTTGGTATCACATGGATGATGCTAAAAAAATAAAAAATTAAAAAATAACCCAAGCCATCAAAACTTTTTTAAAAAGTCATAATTTTAAATGGTTACGGTTGTTACTCTTGACTATTGCAACCGGAAAGCACCAACTAGAATCCACCTTGTCTGTTATGGTTTTTGTGAGCTAATTTAGACCCTTTTGAACCTGTTTATTCACAGACCAAATACCCCGACGTGGTGACCCTTCCGGAAGGGCTGCAGGGAGATCACATCACCCTGAGGAACCCCACGCCTTCTGGGTAAGACAACAAACTGCTTCTCTTGATTTACGCAGATAGAGTTGTGAAATGCATAGTGACAATCTACAGATAATTGGGCTGCTTCAACATTGTTGCTCTTTATTTTGTAAGGCCTCTAAAACCAGAGATTAGATGATGTGTGTTGCATTTTAGGGCTAAAATCACAGATTTAAAAAGTGAGGAGAAAAATCCCCCAAATACACATACGGACTGTGTGCACGTGGCCTTGTTAGGAAATCAATCAGTCGTGTTGCTACTCTTTTAAAAAGCGAGGTGGAAACTTTGAAGGGCTCTAGCAGGATTTCCATTTGCATTTGAAGAAAAATACATCTATTACTGTCTTGGTTTTGGGAGCTCACGCTACAGTGAGGCGTCTAAATTCAAAGTTGGGGAATGTGGGATGCATCCTCCCTCTCACACATCAACAACCACGTCAGCTGCAGCTGGGTGTGCTCCACCTTGGTTGTCTTTCCATGTTACATGGGCAGAGCAAGGGGCAGACCCACTGCCGAGGCCTATGTCCCTCTCGGTGCCACAGGGTGGGCCACTGGCCCAGCTGGGAGAGAGCAGCATTTTCCACCCTGGGAGCTGAAGGAAGGTGCTTGTCCCTCCTCGCAGCCCCTCAGCTACAGCTCACACTTCTTCTGGAGCAGGAGGTGCCGCCCTCACCCTGCACTGACGCAAAACACGCTGCTCGGGGGGCCTGGCCCTTAGAGAGTGGGGGAAAGCGGCTGTTACCCTGGTACCGAGAGCAACTGGGGCTCTATTTTCCCAGTGGTTTAGAGGGAAATGAGATAAAGGAGAGGGGATCATTGCATTGCCTTTTGTTCTGTTCCTCTACCACTGGTTTGGGCTCCCTGCTGGGCACCTTCTGGCAGGTTTGGGGTTTTAAATAGAGAAAAAAATATCCTTGCAGTTGCATGTAAGAAATATAACTTTCATTGTCAAGAATTCTTTAAGGGCCGGTAAAAGTAACTGTTTTGTGAAGGGATCAGACCATTCCCTTCTGCCATTACATCTTTGCTAGAACATGCATTAATTTATATGGAAGCAACTGGAAATGAAGCACAGCTCCCTCCATCCTATGTGTTTATGGAACTAGCAAATAGACCATAATAGATAGTGCTGTCCCGCTTTGGCCAAATCTGTCATTTAAAACTAAATAGTTTAACTCTGGGTTCTTGAAATGAGTGTTGTTAGAGCATCACAGTGAGAAAATAAGCTGTTTTATTTTAGTTTCTCTTCATGCTGACAGGTGCCAAGTCCCATTGCACATTCCCCCTCACCCACAATCATTAAATGTAAGAATTTAAAAACCATTTCAGTGGGTTGGTAGAAAATCCACTTGCATATTAATTTGCTTGCTAAATCCCAGAACAAGCTGTGCACAAACTCCCAAAGGGTTTTTAACAATGAAGTGGCAAAAGGCTGACAAAGCAGATTTAAAGAAAACTTTTACAGTCCCGATGGCTCAAGTGACACCGAGAAAGAGAACTTCCCCCTCGCCGTGACTCGTCACTGTGCAGAGCTGCCCCCCGCTAGGAAAAGCCTCACTTTTAATGAGAAATTCTCCCAACAGCAGGG